ATATTCAGATCCCTTTAAAATGCTTTGGAAGGGTTCTGTTCTATTCTGACACTGAATTATTAGGCCAATTGTGTACACAAGGCTTTTATTGCACACATGGCCTAAGAAAAGAAACCTATGTCATAATAAACCACATGATAACAGCTTTTCTGAAGATCGAGCAATGGAACTTGCAACGCTGTATGAATTTGTTATTGGAAAAAAAAAATAACACATATGGCCAGGATAGGATTCCATAGTGGAAGCAATAATATTATCATATTTTTTATGGGTAAAAAACTCTAATGTGCCAAGACTGAATAAACCAGAATGGTTTATTTGTTTGAATTTGCAGTGACACATGTAAACATTTGACCATCAAGTTTCAAGAGGAAGATCTGAGGCTTGGCACAAAACCAGGAGACTTAATTAGAAAATGGGTTAAAATGATAGCTCGGCCTCTAGGAAAGGCCACCCATGTGTCCAGCACTGTTGGCTCTCTGTCGCCTGTGCCAGCATTTGTCTCTGATAAACAGCGTGCCGGTCCCTGAATTCCGTTGGCCTATGTATTCTGACCCTATAGATGGAGGGGTCCTGACCAATCAGATTGTACCTAGGTGATCGCCAGGATTCTGAGGGCACGTGAAATCCTGTCACACAAGGAGAAGCTGAAGGAACTGTGGCTCCTTAACTTGAGGACAAAAACTTTCAGGGGATTACGATACAATGTCCTCGAATATTTGAAGGACTATCAGATGGAAAAGGGGCTGAATTCTCATTCTCTGTTATTTCAAAAGACGTGTTTAGAGAGAAGTGACAGGAGGGAAATAAATGTATTTATTGAGTGTGGTTTATGTGTCCAGTACTGTGCTAGACAGTGTGTACATGATCTTTGATTTTCACAAAGACCCTGTGGGGCAGCTGTTAACGATCTCCTTGTAACAGAAGGAGAGATGGAGGTCAGAGAAACTAAAGGATACTACTACTAATAATAGTAAAAGTACTACTGATTAGTAAAAAAGAAAAGAAAAGAAATATTTATGTAGTACCTACTATGTGTCAGACACTACTCTATATGCTTTGAACACTTTATCCCTTTTCATACTCACAGCAGTTGTATGAGATAGGAACTATTTTTATGACCATTTTATTGATGAGGAAACCAAGGCACAGGAGTTAAGCACCTTGGTTGGTATCACCATTAATTAAGTGTGGAGTGGGATTCAGAGCCAGACAGTCTGACTGCGTAGCTAAACCTGCTTTACCCTCCCGTCATTCTGCATCTCTGCTGAGTATGTGCTGTGTGCCAGGCCCAGTGCTTGACTGTTTATATCCTCATAGCAATTTAGCAGATTAGGCATTATTATTCCCATCCTACAAATGAGGGAAAAAAATGAAGACCAAAATAATAAAATAACTTGTCCAAAGTGAGTAACGCAGCCAAAATTGTTACGCAGCCTTCAGGCTCCAGGCCAAGTCGCTTTGGACCATGCTCAGCTTTCTCAGAGGTGCAGGCTGTGGGTCCAAAAGTTTCTAGCAAGGAGAGCTATCAAAAACCAGAGTGGGCAGCCCCGGGGGAGGGCAGGGGATGCGGGGGCTCCCCTTCTCTGGAAACCTTGGGAAGAAAATTGTATGTCGGTTAGGCAGGGAGATGGCGAGGATTCCAGCTTATACAAAGCATTGAACCCAACGCCCCCTAAGGTTTTGTCCAGCTCTGGGATTTTATGATGCCGTATTTTCTTCTCATCTTCCCGTGTCATCTTGTTTCCCCCTGGGTGTACTCAGATGTACGTGCAAATCTCATTCTGATATTTGAATCTGGCTCTAGGGGTTAGATTGCCTTGGTAAGAGACTCACTTGCTAGGATATTTGACATGATGCCTTGGGGGAAATGTTAGGTCATTTGAGAAGTCCACAGCATAAACAGTAAGCAGTCAAGTTCTTAACTAAGAGGGAAAAATGTAGCGTGAGGGGCCTTACACAGTGTGAACAGGTAGGTGTTCCAATAGCAGTCAGTCTCTCCCTTACACGTGCTTTTACAGTGAAATGTTTGTCCATCCTAACTTTTCAAAGTGTTTAGCAAATGCCCAATTTGGAAATAGTAGTTTCTCCAGGGTTGTCTCAACTTTAATTATATCTACTGCAACTTGCCTGCTCCACTAGACATCTTATTTCCAGCTCTGAATGTCTTTGGGAGGAAATGCCTTCCTTCATATGACCCGTAGGTGATATTTGTCATGTTATTCTGCAGCACGGCTCTGACATACTGCACTGTCTAGTCTTCTCGTACTTAGTCCTCTGGGTAACAGAGGACATCAGTGTTTCTGGGTCAGGAGATGTATATAAATTCTGTATTTGTGTCTTTATACCCCCCTTTCCCAGTTCACTACCTTAAATCAGTTCCCCACCTCTCTCTCAAATGCCTACAGTTGTTTATCTTTGGGGACATCAAGTTGATGGCGGTGATGGGTGGTGAGCCTTCTGCCATTATTTCTGGGTACTTCGGACTCACTATTCTGTTTCAGCTCAAAGCTGAGAGAAGACACATTTTCTTCCTATTTTCTGTCTCCTGTTTTTCTATTCCTTGGCCTGTATTTCATGTTAATTCTGTTGGACATTTAATTATTTCTCTGGAGGAGATGGTAGGGTGGGGAAGGAAGTTGCGACCATTCGAAAGTTGACTGGTGTTCCAATAGTCTTGGAAAGTTATTGTCCAATATGGAGCTAAGGTGGGAAACAAATTATGTACCGTGTGGTGATTTGCTTCTTTAAATTGAGTGGATTTATAGAATGGGGCAAAGGGTTTATATCTGTGCTACTTCCTGTTTAATAAATTAAAAATGATGACTGTGATGTCCCTTTGATGAATTCGGATGGACTCATAAAGAATTCTGAGGCAGTACTTGTGCCTGTAGCTTAGCATAGTTATTGAACTGAAGAAATGGGGGTCATTATTATTAGGATGAAAACTGGAAAATAAAGACATAATAATATTGAATTTATTCATATGTCTAAAGTCCAGTGGTTAATTTTTTAAATTTTCATTCAGAGGTGGGCGTATAAAGTTAAAAATGTGCACAGTCCCATTCTGGTGAGCATCTAACCTTAGGTGTGGGAATAGAATATTCCCTGTCACTTCCAGAGGGTGGCAATCTGTTGCAGCAGGGCCTAATCATTCATTCTCTAAGTAAACTACTTTTAGGAGACAGGAGACACTGATAAGATTAGAGCCACTGAGACTGATTGTAAAAGAGTTTCAGTAATGGGAAAGAAGATACGAAACTTTTTCATGTATTTAAAAAAATATCAACATTGGATATAATCAGGAGGGTTTCCAGGTTACTCATGAGATCTCAGTGGATTCGCGAATTTTCTCCATGGTAACAGCATTATTAATTTCTAACCTTTACAGGGAAAATATATTAGTTTTTTGCAGAAGGTAAACTTTCCTTTGGGGTTTCCAGTTAGATCCACTGTGTTAACTAGTTCACAGTCCCCCCGCCCCCATCCCCGCTACGCCACCCCCCACCTTCTTTCTGTCTTTCTTCAAACTTCTTTTTCTTTCTTATGTTCCTTCTTCTCTGTCAAAGATAAATAAAATTAAAAAGATTAACTAGGAAAGAAATGCAAGGCCAACCAAGTTGTATACTGGTGTTTTCATTTTCCTCACTACACTTGCATTGTTAAAACTGATTGTGGCTTTTTAAAAAGTGGGAAAAGGAAAGAAAAACCAAGCCTGCAGAGCAAGATGTATAGGGAATCTTATGTCGAGCTTCCTGTGTGTTTTCTGCTGCATGTTAACTGTCAGGAGTGGGGCTGGGATGTGAAATATTGTTCCTTATTTAACGTTTCAGACTGTAATCTCTGTACTGCATGTTTGCTTCTCTTGTGACCTTTTCTTTGCATTTATAACTACTTCTCTTCACCCATAATCCAAAATAAGTGGGCATTCCTACAGAAAAATTAAAGGAAGCTGTCAGTGGAGAGTTAATACAGTTAAAGCATCCTCAACTCTGCTACCAACCCCTTAAATAATTAAAACTGTATGCTTGAAGAGTCAGATTTGCATTTCTGTACCAAGTTTATTTAGCACACTTTGTTACACTCAATTAAATGAGAATGTTCTGTTTCATTTTCTTTGCTTCGGGTTGATCATTTTGCCTTTTGATTCTTATGCCCTTGTGTAATTTCACAGTGCTTAGGTCTCTAAAACTATACATATATTAATGCATATGTGTATCTATAGACACCCATTAACAGGCTTACTGTTTGTACTGAATAGGATCTTTGCCCAAGGCATTTGGGCATTCCAAGTAGCCTAAGGTGCCACTGGGACTGCAGATAATTCACTGTGGTAAGGATGGAGCTTGACAGAGTTTTTTAATATCCAGTGTTTTTCTGTAAAGCTCTGTTATTTTGGCATCACCTTCCCTCACCACAAGTTGATTTGAAAATCTCTTAGTGACAACAAGAAGACACAGGCGTCAAATGGTTCTGGAAAGGATACTAAATATCAGTGCTATCTAGTAGGTCTCTCCACATCTCAGTTGGCAATGTATGTGCCCTGTTCTTTGTAAATTAGTTCATTGCTTGACTTATGCATGTTCAAGAAGGAATAAATTACTTATTCATTTCCTAATGAGTAGTGGGATCAATTGGAGCATGAAGAGAGATGAAATAGCATAATTTTGCTTCCCCAGTTGGGGTTCAATATCCCTAAACTTCACCATTAATCACTCCATCAGTTTCCTGGGTTATTTCTGCCTCTGCATGTAAGATATTCTTTTTAATTTTCCTACCAGGTAAGTAAGGCTTTTCGAATTTTCCCATTGGGGTTGTAGATGGGTGATGCTGTCTCCTTTGTACCCTGAAGTGTCCCTTGTTACAATGAACAGTCCCTTCTGCCTTTGCATCAGTTGGTCTGGGTGCGTTCATGGATGACAATCAATGTGTATGTGCGATGACAATTATGAGGGTTCTAATATATTTAACTGTTATGGGATCTGTTATGTCTACTTTAGGGTCGACCCCATCCCATATGACACTCCAAAACCAGCGGGCCACACGCGGTTTGTCTGCATCTCAGACACACACTCCAGAACAGATGGTATCCAGATGCCTTATGGGGACATCCTTCTCCACACAGGCGATTTCACCGAGCTGGGACTGCCCTCAGAGGTTAAGAAGTTTAATGACTGGTTAGGTAAGGAATGATTGCGTTCTGGCGCCCCCAATTAACCTTTCCCGTCCGAGTGTCACTCACTGCGTCCTAATTGAATTAGAGCACTTGGAAGCCAGCTCAGCCATTTCTCGTATGATATGTCGTGGTGTCTAGCTTTCATCCAATTCTGTTAATTAAAGATGAATTTTTAGATATTTAATTTTACTGTGCATCCTTTCAGAGCCTGGCCTCGGCGGCTCTGGGGCAGAGGGACGGAAAGCTTTGAAACCGATCTCCTATACTCATTCTGCTTTAATGAGGGCATTCGTTGGCACGCATGAGACTTAGAATCATATTTTTAATTCATTGGCTCTGCAATCTTTCCCAGATATTATACGCAAAGATGTACAAATGACCTACTAGGAAGAGAACGTTTCTAAGAAATGAAGGAACATGTAAAAATCCTGTGAAGGGAAGGTCCTAGCACTGTGTTGATTGAGAACAGCTTTCCTAAGTGAACCAGAAGGGTGTCTTAAGACCTCTGGAAATATAAAATGTGCTCCTAAAACACTCCAAAAAATTGGAATATGAAACCACCCTATGCACTGTGGAAAGTGTAATAGCAACTTTGTGGCTGCTGTTAGAGATACCCACAGTTCAGGGTTATTGGAAGTATCTCAACTCCTGGGTCAGGAATTGCCAAATACTAACATTACAAGGCAATCATTGCCAGATATTAACGTTACAGGTTATTCATAGCCAGAGTAGATGACAGATCTTTTTAAGAATCCTTTTAGATGAGGAAAAGAAGTGCAAGCATTCTGAGATTTTAGAATCTCTAAAGACACTAAAAATTATATAGTAGAAAGCAAAAATTACTCTGGAAAAATAACATCATGAATAATATGTCAGCCAACAAAAATTACTTAGCAATTTAGGCATAAACTTTAAATCAAGGTGTGAGAAATTTTAAAATAATTGATCAAATGTGTATATGAATGAAAGATAATATTCATTAAAAACAGTAAAATATTAAAAAGCCAATAAACATAACTAATAATATAACATATTTTGAGCTTTCCTGTGATCTTGGACATCAATCCACATTTTATATAGTTGACATCAGAGTACATATCTGTTCTTGTACTTTTGGTTATTTTACTTTAATATTATCTGTAAGATTTTAAATGATTTTTGCCTAATTTTCATATTAATCCTTTTTAATAGCAACATGACATGTATTGTTCTATGATTTTATTTAATAAAACATCCTTCTAAAATAAATATTTAAATCAATAACAATTTTTCCTCTTATAGCCAGCAGTAAAATGTACATTTTTGTTTGTATATGTCTTTTTGCTTCCATTGTCTTGTTTCTTAGGGTAAAACATGGTATGAGTTAAATTTCTAAGTCAAGGATATGGAACCCTGGTTCTTGTTGTGTGTTGGTGCCTTGCTTTCTGAGGGGGTTGTAGCTGTGTACGTCATTAATAGTGAATGAACGTACCGATTTTACCATGATCCTGGCAGCTTGGATATTGGAACTTTATATGTTGTGCTGGCTTTGTAGATATTCAGTCATCTCATTTAAAACAGCAAGGTATCTTGATTATCATTCAGCATTATCTCATTTTTACAGATGACTCAGAAGTTAAGTGACTTTCTCAGAGTCTCCTTGTGGTAGAGGTTGAGTGTATAATCTACATCTTTTCACTTCTCTTTTTCCTCTGCAAAATTTGCTTTCCAGTGCTGTTATCTCTTCATTTTAGTAACTTTTATTTCTGAACTATTAACAGGCAAAATTATTTGGAGTTGAATTTTGACAGTTTTAAACTGTTCTTTGACAACTGAGTTTCAAACGCAGAAATGATGTAGCTGCATTGACAGTGTTGATTTGTAAAGGAATAGAATAACACGGTGAGAAGTGTTCACAGAAATACAAGATAAGATAGATCCTGGTTATAATCTTGTTTAGCCGCTGACCTTGGGCAACAGAGTTAACCTCTCTTTTCCCCTTGGTTTCCCTGTTCAGAACTAAGGATTAATACTCCCCCGTCTTGCTCGATTGTTGAGCAGATTAATCAGTAAGTGATTGCTGCTAGTAAGTTTTTGTGGGCCATTAATAACTGAATGGGGAATGCAGTGAATGAACCATCTACAGATCTTTAAAGGGTAAAAACAAGAAGAGGTCAGAAGAATTATTTAATAGGTTAGAAGTAAGCACTGAGAGAAGTTATAAGGGATAGTACTTCGTAAGTGGAAATGTGCCGTAACTAAGGAAGTAAAATGATCAGGAAGTAAAATGATCAGAAAATAAAATACTGAGGTCCAGGGATGCCTGGTCAGTTCCTTCTCTTCCCATTTCCTCTCATCTTCTGAGGCAGGAGAAAGTGGGCTCTGATGGGCATGCAGAACGTAAAGCCAAAGGATGGAAGCCCACTGGGAAGCGGATATAAAAAAGAGTTGGGAGCCCATAGGGAAGGCTCAGAATAGTTCAGTTACCCTGGCAACCTCGTGGTGCTCTGAGGTGAGAGACAGTGTGTGACCACACTCCATGCATTGGCTCAATGGGAACCTCTCACCTGAAACAAGTACTTCCAGCAACCACTGCCAGGCAGGCTAGCAGTGTGGAATCAAGGATCCGATCAGTCTCGTGCTTTATGCTGCAATAGGGCATCCAGCTCACAGTCAGCGTGAGTCCTCAGGATTGGCAGGTGCTGAAAGTCCGATGAATCTCTAACTGATTTCCATCTTTCTACTCTATCTAGACTGCCCTGATTATTGGAAACAACCTAGCCATCCCCTAAGCTCCTTTACTCTCCCAACAGGCTAATTTGTTTCTCCTACAGACCAGGCACTCCTCTACCCCTGCAACATCCCTCTAAAGTTGCTAATGTTTTTCCTAGTTTTATAGGTGAGGGACCTGAAGCTCAGGTGGGTTACGTTACCCAAGATCACTTAACAGACAGGAAGCTCAGAGAGGCTAAAACATCCACCATGGTGCACTCGACTAGTAAAAAAGCACAAGCCCTTTTCTTCACCAGTCTGTGATGATATGCCTGGGCTTATGGCAGCTGGGACGCTTGTAGATTTTAGGCTTGAACTAAAGTGTGGTAGTTTCCATCAGCATCATATGGAAGTTGAGTAGCTGTTTGACTGTGTGCTGTTATTTGAAAGATGTATTCAAACCCTGCCTGTCTTGAATCTCACCCTCACCTACCAGCCGCAGGGCCGGAGAACCCCCTCACGAGTCCCCTGTTGGTTCAGAGATGATGTGTGCTGGTTAATATGGACCTATGTCCCCTGGCAGGTGTAGCCCATAAAGTTATTAATACAGAGTAATTTATGAGATAAGCTCGCACAGCATAGGGCCATAAGAAGATAGATCTCAAACTGGGTTCAGTCAGAGGATGGAAAGGTCGTGTAGCCTGCCATGATTGGGAGCAGCCAGGAAGAGCCAGCTTTAAATTCCATACCTTTGATAAATTGCTTACTATTCTGAGCCTTGATTACCTCACTTGTAAAATGGGCATCCTCCTCCTCCTCCTCCTCCTCCTCATCATCATCATCATATACTCCATAGGTTGTTTTGAGGATATACTTTGTGATAAAGCTTGGGTCATTCTTGACACAGCCCTTGGCCCGTAGATGACTTTCAACAAATACCGTGGAGGAAGACAGCAGAGCCGTGTCATGGGATCCAAAAGGCAGAAACTAGAAGGTTCTGGCACCATGGATTTAAAGAGAGATCTAGAGTATAAGAGGGAGCACAAAAAGGTATAAGAACAGAGGCCGAAAAGAAGCCTCCTTAACAATTACACTCACTGGACAGAATGTTAGGACGACAGTAAGAGGCTTGGAGGCCCCACTTCCAAATTCAATAGAAGGAGAAACTGAGGCAGGAGAGATTAAGTGAATTGTCCAGGGCCACTCAGATAATGAATAAATAAGTTGGACTCCAGTCCAACTTGGATGGGAAGGGGGTGTTGAACTAATATGTTCTGCTTGTGGGTAGTAGGGTCTCAACATGGCACCCCTCCCCCATCCCTCAGTTACATGTATCACTTAATACAATCCTCACAATAACTTGTTAAGCAGGTATTAACTTCTAATTTTTACTTATGAGGAAACTGAGCCTTGGTGAAGTTAACGTAGGTTGTGCCACTAGGAGGTGACCTCCGGATGTGAACTTGGGCCCACCAGGCTCCACTTCTCAAGTGTGTTCTCCTATCTTTCTCTAGTCTCGGTCTGGGGTCTGGGATCCCTACAGAAGGGACCATATCCTGGGTAAAATGGTGGATCTTTGAATAACTGCCTCCTTTAACACATACACTCCCACGTACGTGCACTCAGGGTCTGAGGTGGTTCATGTCATGCTAGAGCTGTTTTGTGGCATGGCCTCTGTCTATGAGTTGGCTGATGGAAGCACGTTGTGAGGTCATGAAGCTTTCCTCACCATTTGGTGCGGACTGTTCCAATGTCTGAGAGTACAACAGAGTAAATCTCCATAAAGACACTGAAAACGACAGCCAAACGAGAGTCTAAATTACACTGTGGCATTAGCACATCATGGCACTCAGTTCAGTCCTTGAAATGAATAGCCACTGCTGGGAGCCTGAAAACCTTGTCCAATGTTGGCAGCTCCCTCCCACATGTGAACAGTTGTATTACAAATAGCTGGCATATTCTAATAGATGCTGTTGCCTCAGTGGCGGAGTTGTGGGAACGAGGCACAGGGAAATCTTTCCCAAAGAAATACTTTTTAAAGTCATGGTTAAACCCTATGGTCCCGTTAGTCTGAGCTCAGATATGTTAGAGGTATGTCATGTACAGTCTTTGGTGAGCTGGACTGGGATTCTAGCCCCTCAACCATCATAATATTTTCTTTTTTATCATGGCAAAAATACATCACAGTTATTGTCTGGGCTTAAATATAAGCCTGTCAACTATCAATTACGTGCCAGTTAAAATGTGATTATTTTTATTGCTTTTTAGTGAATTCTGAACATCAGCGCTTTCTAACATCATTGATGTGCCTGAAG